ATAAAATTAATAAAATTAATAATTCTCGATATAATGTAACGGCACGTTTTTTTTAAATAAAATAACTGCCTTTTATAATTTAATAAATTAATTGCATATATTAAGTTATTATTTTCTCTTGATTCTGCTTGTTATGTATATCTTGTACTTGTTCGATCTTTCCACAGTCAAATTTTTGTTTGCTAGAGATTCGCTCGAGATTCAAATTCCTGTTCGTTGTAGACGTTAACTGTGCAGGAATTTCTCTACTTTGGTCATCCACACATAAATTATACTTCCATATTAGAATTCGTCGATCAATGCCACCAGAAGCAAAAAGTGTACCATCTTTTGAAAATGTTATGGATGTTATGCTAGTACAATGTCCTCTGAGAGTATAAATTGGACGGCCTTCTAGGATATCTAAAATCTAGTCGATGTTTCTTGTTAATAGCAAATAGAATAATAATTTGTTGAAATCGCTAAATGAAACCAAAATTTTAAACTACCTTCATTGTAGAATCTACAGATGCTGTTAATATAAATTTACCATTTGGATGGAATTTAATCATATTCACAGATTCTGTATGAACAGCATAATGCTGACATAAAGAATCTGTTCTTAAATCGTACAATTTGACACATGCATCTGTATTTGCTGATCCAATAGTCGTGCCGCTTGGATGAAACTCCACATATTTAGCAGGAGCTAATAAAGTTTTATTCTAGATTTCTAATATACAAAATTATAATGCAATAACTTTAACTTAACAAACCTTTTATCTCATTAAAAGTTTTGACACATCGTCCGCTGGTAATATCCCAGACTTTTATTGTTTTGTCATCGCTACATGATATCAAAAGTTTACCATCCGGAGAAAATTTAGCACAGCTTACCCAATATGTATGTCCATTAAATGTCTTGAGGAATTTTTTTTGATATGGTATCCACAGCTTTACACTTTTATCATTCGATGCAGTAACTAACTAAAAATTATAATAAACAATTACATAAACTGTGTAGCAAGATCTATAACAAAATAGCTAATAATTATTAGGTATAGGAAAAAGTTCGTGACGTTTTTTTTAATGCCATCTAATGGAAAAAACGCTACGAACTTTTTCCCAAACAGATAATTGAATTTAAGATTACTTTTTCCCCATTTGGACTAAACTGTACTGATCTCACAGCAGAACTATGAGCCTTAAAGTCAAAGGAATGTCCTTTAACTTTAGGAATCCAAATTCTTACAGATCTGTCTTTTGAACCACTGGCCATAACTTCTCCGTTTGATGAATAGCACACATCTAAGACTGCCTCTTTGTGGGCTATAAACTTGTAAGCTGGCTTTAAATGTTTCAATCGCCATAACATTACTGTGTTATCCATACTGCTTGATATGAGTTGATCAGCATTTGGATGAAAGTTTAAAGCAGTAACTGCATTGCTATGACCTATGAAGTATCCTTGATATACAGGCTCGCAATTAGTCTCTTCCATTTTCTTTTCTGTTCTGGTAGCACAATAAAGTAATAGTAGAATAAAAAAATAAATAAAAATACATGAAGCAACATCACATGCAATATTAATATAAAAAAGTTTTTATTTGAAATTGGTATATATTAATTTTTATCATAATTTGAATTATATTACTTAATAATAATTAAATATTAAGATAATTTAATAAACAATAACCTTAAAAATTCATATTACGGTTACAGATAATTTTATTAAAAAATATTAAATAAATATAAAGATATGTCACACATTAGGTAATTATACGTTCATTAATTCTTTATAGCGTTTTAGATGTATTTAGTATTGCGAGAATGTGTAAAAATTAATTATTGTAATGATTATTATATTGAATCGTTTAATATGAAAATGTTATATAATTTATTCAATTTAACTATTCCATTTAATTAATATTTATATACTCACGTCTTTTAATTATGAATCATTCATGCGAGGTATAATATTTTTTACAATTTGAAGACACAGCAGCGTCTCGACACTAAGTAAGCGCAGTGACATATAGCGCAAAACGGCTAATAATTATTTTATTAATGAAACATAATCGTAAAAGTTTACACGATGCAAATGAATATTGTGACTTTGATGGAGTTTTTCTTCAATTTATATGTAAAAACAATATTCGATACTTGACAAGTTCGAGATAGTATTTATTTATTTGAACAGCTGATATGTCAACTGTTAACAACCACATTGATCGATTGAAGTTCTAAAAAACAGAAATTATTTTGAAAATGACCAGAGAATATTTATAATTCTGTATCTCAAAATATTTTAACGTGCGATTATTTAATTCTTTTTTTTTCGATTATTTAGTTTTAATTACAACGAAAAGTAGTAATGCTTGATTTATACTTTTGCTTAACCCTAAGGTTCTGCGCACAATAGAAGGAATTAGAAATAAAGAATAAACGATTTTAACCTATCAGAAATCAAATACATTGGAATACACGATTTCTGATAAGTTGAAATCTTTTATTCTTTAATTTTAATTTCTTATTCTTTCTATTGTGCGCAGGACCGAAAATCCTAAAGCCAATAGGGTTGCCAGTCTTAATCCTAACTGAAATCTGTATTCCATTGGCTGAATTTTAGGATTAAAATCGAAGCAGTGCCAGTATCGCAATCAATACGGTGGCAAGATTCTAATCCAGCTAGCAATCCAGCAGGAATACAAGCATCGTGTGACACAGGTTTAAGTTCGGTTGCCCTTGACTTTAATTTTATAAAAGCTTACTCGAAAAAATTGCCTTTAATTTTGAAAACATCTTCAAAACTATTGGATTGATCTCATCAATTCTTAAGATTAATCTAATTCGATTAAGTGTGCCTTCCAACAAGCGACACAAATGACACGGTGTGACACAATGGATTATTACATCCTTGTTGTTTGCCAATTAAACAAAAATGACATGATCATTGTGTCGCACTGTGTTGCTTGTTGGAAGACACACTAAGTTAATCAGAGTTGGTGAAACCGGCTCTAACCCAAACATAACAAATCACAATAACGTCAAAATGACATTAAAATGAATTGGAAATTGAAAAAATGACTTTTAATGATCATTTTGAAGTCATTTTGACATCATAATGACTTGTTCTTGCTTGGGAATGCCCATTTCCACCAATATAGCTTAACTTTAATCTCGATTCAACTTATTCTTTATCTTTTTCTAGTTCTAAAAATTGGAAAAAGATAAAGAATAAATTGAATCGAGATTAAAGTTAATCTATATTGGTGGAAACAAACATAAGTTAATCGGAGTTGATGAGATCGGCTCTTATGTCCGTGTTTATGCATTGGAGATTGAGGATTGCGAATTACGAATTAGAATTCGACCAAATAAGTTTAAGAGAACCAATTGAAGTTTCATTTTTTCGTGAAATGGAAGGAAAGAAAGAATTTTGATTTGTTCATTTTTTTATACGTTATGCGAGTCATAAATAAGTTCTTGTCCGATTGATTGTTACATTGGAACTGACCAATTGCCTTTACTGTTCAGCAGAATTGACCAATCATTTGATCAATTCTTGACATTTAATCGACTGATTAGGTTAATCGGAATTGGTGAAACCTAATTCCTAAACGCAGCCTAGAAAGCTTAGTTTTACAGTCGAACAGGGGAATACTCGACTAATTGGTTGATTCTTACATTTTGATTTGGTTTAAACCCTCGGTGGAAACTAGGCCTGTGACTGTTCTGGCACTTCTTTATAGTCACATTCGACTATCCTCGGACATCCTCGAGCGTTCTCGGGCCCCGCGAATCTACTGATTGTACGTATGTGTTGCATGTACTTGTTGCGCGCTCGCATGCGCACATTCGCGTCATTCGCTACATTTTTACGGGGACCATCGAAAAAGCCACGAGGTAACTGTTCAATAAAGTTGCTGAGACACGCACGTGGTCAAAACATGGCAAATTATCACAAGCCGGAGTCGAAGACTATTCAGGAGCTGCGGGACATCGCGAACAAGTTGAGAATTCATTCGATTGAGACGACGCAGGCCAGCAAATCCGGGTGAGTCCGTCATCCACTTCCTAATCAGCGATGATAAACGAATACGGTTACTCCGGCAACTATGACCGGTGGACTTGGCTACGAGGAGGTATGTACACATCGCCCGGGACAATGATAAGCGAGAACGCATCTCGTGATTGCGTGATAATGATGTAACCTCGTGTTTGGAAATTCCCGCGTGAATGTTATCGATTTAGGCAACCGTCGAGATTAATTACTTTCATTTGCGTTTTAAAACGACATTTAAAATAGCACAAGTATCCGACGTTTCATGAGAAGGACAGAATAACAGTTTAAAAATTACAGTCGGAGGATATTAAGAAAACACTTGACATTTGATTGATTGCGCACTTGGTTGACGTGTGCGTTGTACAAATATAGCATTACTAATTCATTGTGGAGTATTTATATTGTAGTAAAGAGTATGTATCTATGCATCTTGGCACATGTTTTTATGACCCGATAGATTCGCATAATTTCTGATAAAAATATCGCGCTCAATATAACGCGGCTATTCATAATTAATAGGAAATGCAGATGTTGTTGCAAATGTTACTGTTGTAACGCAAAACGCCGATTCAGCACCTAAAGTTCATGTCACACTATACATTGGAGATTGAAGATTGAAAATTAGAATTCTAGTGCTAGTCAGAACGGAATAGATTAAATTCTGACGGTCGAATTTTAATTTCTAATTAAATTTAAAGCTCGTGTCAAATTCTTCGGTTTTGGTCCAAAGATTTTTGAACAAATTTTTGATTCTCCGACTGACGGAAAACATTTGATGTTTTTTTTTTTTACGTTTTTAAAAAAACGTATTACAATAATTTTGAAAGTAGCAGTAGATTTTTAGTGAAATAAATGGAATCACAGTTTTTAAATCGGAGAAAACTGGCAACCGTAATTATAACACACATTCGAAACTGAGGATTGTAAATTAGGGTTCCATTTTATGCATGATGTGTATGATGTATTATGTAGTTTTTGTTGTCCATCGAATATTAAAAAAGGATAGATGATATGATTAAACGACACTAACAAGATTTTATAGCGTAAAACTTGAGTCTCAAGCCATAAAAAATTGACCAATAATTTATTATTATTAAGCATTAAGATCTACTTTGACCGAAAATAGGATTATTTCTATCAATTGATTAATCCATTTCGTTCTGATTGACTGAATTCTCATCTTCAATTTGCAATTCTCAATCATCGCGTTTAGTGTGATACAGGCTTAACTCGATCGTATGATTTCCGATATCATTAACTTTGAATGCGTTCCATTTTACGCATGATGAGATATCATTATATCCTTGTTGTTCATCAAATATTGAAGAAGAGTAAAATAATACATCATTTTATCCCCGCGCTCTTTATTTAACAATGTATCATCTCTTCGAAAGCATTTCAATCTTCCGACTAAGAGCCATGACACACAAAAAATTTCAGCAGTAAAACGTGAATAGTAAGGAAATCAACGTGTTGAATTTGCTACTGCTTATGTTGTGACCTTACTATCTCTATTGTGATGGTCAATTTGCTTACTGCTTTATACGTTTTATTGCCTGAATTTTTTTGTCATGCAGTGCCATGGCTCTAAAACGAACGAGAGATATTGAACGTATTTTCATGAAGGCTTTTTCATGAACGCATATTCAAATTACTTTTATTATTAATTTTAATTTACTCAGCATGGATTATTCGTACTCTGTAATCAGGCGAAGATGATCTTTCTATTCATTTGTATAATAAACAAGAAAAATGCAGTTATAAGTAAATTATATATTATTTATCTGGAGCATGAATCTAATTGAGTACAGTTTTATCGATTTGCTTGGAAATGAAGAATGGAAAAAGATAAATGTGTTCTTTTAGAATTTATTTATTAACTTACGTTAGTAATTTGCGTGATGTGCTGTTAGATTAAGCTAAATTATAAAATCTATTCACGTTATCGACGATTCTTTTTCATTGCGCCGAGCCGAAATGTCTTATCGGCGATCTAATTTAAGGAATTGCTAGTTCATTAGTTTTTCTTTCAATAAGCGCGTTTTTGATGACTCGCACTTCCAATATTTCCGTAATTTCGCCAAAGTTAGGAAGAAATTAATGAATTATTATTTAATCAATTAAAGTAATACTATTTTATAAAAATTAAAAGGATTTAAGATGGATAGTTTATATATTATCTACATTAGATATATATATATATATAAATAAAATATATATTACATTTCTAGTTTATTATATTTATGATTAATAAACTTTTAATAATAAATTGATTGATTTAAAAATAAATGTCTTTAATAAATGAAAAAAATGTGCCATGTATTTTGCAAAGATATCGAATTGATGAATAATACAATGTCTTTTCGGATTGATTGTCATTTTATATTTCTCACAATTAGTTTATACATGGACAATTGTAAGAACTATATTTAAGAAGTGAAGGAGTCAGGCGTTTGCAGTCGTCGAGGTCACGCAGCGAAGGAAATGTGATAATGGCGGTACATTAGGTTTTCTAATAAATAATTTACCGTATATAATTCGAACGACGACTGTATAATTAATAGAAAAGATTCTCATGAATTTTAGTATAAAGAGTGAGTTTTTCGTTGAGGTATCAATTAAGGAAAATGCGAAAAAAATCTCTGAAATCGAAATTTATTTAGAACAATTTTGCGATTTCTTTTTTTCTTTGGAAAAAAAATAAACAGTAGAAGTGCGCTTATATAAGATACGTGAAAAATCTGAATTGCCGGTATGCAAATCAAATATACACGCTATTATACGTATGTTCTATAGATCACTGTGGTGTAAATGTATTTACATATTTACGTATTTCGTAAAATGACTACTTATTTGCAGTGAAATAAGATGGCAGAAATAAGATAATAAGATTCTGATTTTCTGTGTTTTTAAAGTTTATGGTTGCCATAAATATTTCGCGTCACCAAAATAATTAAAGCAATGATTAGATAGAGAAACGCAAGTGCAAGAAGATTGCATTGTTAAAAACAAAAAAATTTAAGTAAAAATAATCAAAGTGGAAGCATCTATTTGAATCGGAAGACAATGACTTTGAAATATTAAAGAAGAGAAGAACTGCAATTCAATGGTTTTTACGCTGATACATTTATTTCGAGTCACTGTATATATTCTGGATACGCTCTATATATCGTCGTCATCATTGTAATCGTCGTTGTAGGGATGAGTTGGAGAGGTAGGGAGATAATCGCGCGCAGCAGTCGTTTGCCGGCGAAACTCCTTTCACTCGCCAGCAGTCGCGATCGAATGTTCGTTAATAGACGACAGTCTCAAAAGACTTGGGTGTAATTCAATTCACGATGGTACGAGACACGGATGTGGAAAAACTCCAACATATCGCAAATAAACTGCGTATCGAATGCATAAAAGCGACTGAAGCATCAAAGAGCGGGTATGACGAGAAATTGCAAATTATAATTAACATCATAATTAGCTAACATATTTCTTAAACATCGATCTTTTTCATCCAGGTGGAACATTAATCTTTAAATAAGCATTAAATAAGTTATACAAATTGTAAAATCATTATTGTGCAGTGAATTTGAGGTGATTTTTCTTTAATGTAATAAATAGCGACTTAAATAACAAATAGAGACTTAAATTTCATTCGTCTTTATTCTTTAATCATATTTTCGTTACATATAGGGGATAATGATAGATAAAAATGAATTTAATTGTACTTGAATTGAATTATATATAGCAAGATGATAAAAGATAAAATGTTGTGTAACATTTTGTAACAAATATTTGTCATATTTATGAATATTGCTGCCTCTGTGACCTTTCACGGTAAAAGAATTGAAAGAATATACTTGAAGATAGAATAAATCTGATAATATATTGTCAATACCTCTGACCTTGTCACGATAATGAATGACGAAAAACAGATATCGTTCGATTACGTGAACAGAATTATCGCTGATGCGTAAACATTTAGAAAAAAGAACCGTCAATTAAGTATTTTTATCGTTTAGAACTGTCGGATTTAATTTTATATTGATTTATATCTTGTTTTGCTCCAGACATCCGACATCATGTTCATCCATGGCCGAAATTATGTCCGTCCTCTTCTTCCATACAATGCGTTACAAAGTATCAGCCCCACGTGACGCCAACAGTGATAGATTTGTCCTCAGTAAAGGCCATGCAGCCCCAATTCTCTACGCAGGTAAATTTACTGCCAATAAATTACTGCACCTTATTAACGTAATTAATTTGATATAATCAATAAATCAAAATATTTTAATATAATTAATTCAATAACATTTTTATTGTTCATATTTTATTATTCATTATTTTTAAATGTGTAATATTTGTCGATATTTTTTAATAATTATTTTATATACATTACATTTATACATTACATTTATATATGTTACATTTTATTATTATATATGCAATTATATTATTTTACATTTACGTTTTATTATAGCATGGGCAGAAGCAGGCTTGTTCCCGACCAGCGAATTATTGAATTTAAGAAAATTCGATAGCGATCTGGAGGGACATCCTACCCCGAGGCTTAATTTTGTAGATGTAGGAACCGGTTCACTAGGGCAAGGTCTCTCAGTTGCTGCAGGCATGGCTTACGTCGGAAAGAACTACGATAAAGCC